TTATTGTTGTTTGTTGTTGTTTGTTGTTGTTCTTGTTATTATTATTATTATACAGAGCAGCCAAAGATTCCGTAAGAACATTAATAAGATTATCTGGTTCCATTAAAAATCATTTAAACCAGTGCCTACCATTACAATGTTCTTGTACCAACAATCTACAATTGACCTAGGAAACTGCATAACTAGGACAAGTCATACAGGGATCCACCATCTGTAGATTTATATATATATGTATATATATATACATACATACATATACACATACATACACACACATGTGTTTGTGTGTGTGTATCGTTGTACTAGTACCGTGGTTCTCAGAGAGAGCTCTCATCTTTATAGTGAACTTGTCCAGTCAGGAGCAGCTGAGGACAAGAAATCCTGACTGCTCCTGATCACCATAAAGATCATGTTATATTGTTCAAAAAGAGACATTATACAACATCTCTACACCCAGATGGTATCCTTTCTGGCCACCTGAAGATAGCATCAACCATCCAAAATTAGCAAACTGTCAGATGTCACATCTGATCAGTAATATGAATTCTGTACAGATCAGAGTAAGTCAACCTCTCAGATTTTCAACCCTAATTTACCTCTACCACGGAGTTAACTTGGAAAGAAAACAAAAGATTAACTCCATCCCATCCTCATCATCTCACTCAGACAGGTCTTCACGGTACATGCCACATGCATATTTCATTTGGAAATAAATCCAGGATATAGGTTTCTTTAGCAATAGTTGACCTGAGAACAAAAAACATGGATTTTAAGGGAGAGGGCCAACCTATATCATTTTGACTTTTTTTAAGTTGCAGCCTAAACAAATAAATGAAACCAGCCTTGATGAGGCTTTAGAAATATAAACTCACTTGAATGATCATTTAGTACTCCCAAATTAGAAACAACCATGGTCAAGCTTTCTTCCTCTGTGTTGCGTCTGTTTCGCTGTTAATAAGATTGCAATCTATTTATGAGCATGCACCTTATTAAATCCAGAGAGAGAAAATTCAGAGTAAATACACATATGATCAAGTTAAAAAATATTTTGTGTATGTGTGTACATGTGTGTACATGTGTGTGCATGTGTATGTATACAGATATAGACCTATGCACACACACACACACACAAATCCATATTCAATACAATACTGAAATGAAAAAGAATTAACACATAATTTCCCATATTGTATGATGCATTCAACGCTTAAATAAAAGACCCCATAGCAATCTGTAAAGATGCTCATAAATCCTACTATTAAAGCAACAATTCCTATAACAAAGACAAAACTCTAGAATACTATTTGATTTTATATCATTAATGTCCTAACAAATTCAGTACTGATAATAGATTTTATTTCAATAGTGCTATTATAGTGTTCAGGAGAACCACAATTCCTTTCTTAAAACTTATTCTCATCGTATGCATCTTATTGCCTGCAATGATTACTTTGGGATTGCGTTTGAAGGCAAGAATCACATGTATAATAGTAAGTCATGAAGTTTAAAGTTGCATTCATAAATAAAACATTGTTGAGTCATAATGTATTAAGAAGCTGCCAAACTCTGAGTAGACTACATTATATGACCATAATATTTGCATATTTGTATAATGTTATTCAGAAGTACTTTTGTTCTATGTATTTGATGCATATAGATGTATATGTATGCACATTACTTCTTTAAAATTGTGAATGCATCCCAGATTTTTTTTCAAAATGAAAATTATTCATACCATATAAGGGACAAAGACAATATTTGGAAATGGTAGAGTCCTATTAATATTTTGCAATATAAATTGTTCAGCTAAATGTTAATAAGACAAGGTAAAGGCATGAGCAAATTCTCATTTAATTTTAAGTTGATCAAGGCCACTACAATTATTTCTGTTAGAACATAGGTTATAATCAGCTCTTAAATATTTATATAGCAACTGTTATCCTTTCAATATCAGTGGAAAAAAATGATAATTTTCTTTTGTATCTTTCAAATCTGATTTTTTCTGCACAAACAAAACTCTGAACTAAAATATGTCTTTGCGCAGAGAAAAGAAAACATATTTGCTACTTGCTACTTCAACAAGTGACTCCACCGTATAAAAGCAGCAAAACCATAGTATTATTTGTTAAAATGTATCATTATAATCAAAATAAAACCAATTCAGATATCATGCTGCCTAATTATTAACTCGTTGTTCATCAATAGAACAATTGCTTGGACTGAGAGGACCCTCGTTTTCCTTTCTCTAGCTGGAACTACATATGATTCAGTATTCACTTCTAAAGGAGAAAACAAAACCAGAACCACAGTTAGCATTAACAAAACAATGAAAGAAAACAAAATTAAAACATAATACTTCAAATTATGCATTGGGCCTCTCCTTCATAATTACTCTATCATCAGTATAGAGTTGCTAAAGCTCATTCATTCAAATTGCATTCCAAAAGCTCTATTTGTCATTTATGTCAATATATACCACCAAAAGCATAAATTTAAACATCACTTCAGTTATTGTGGATGTCAATTATACATTTTCTTAAGCTACGCCACAATTCAAATTTATACTATTCTAGTAAAAAGGCTACATGTCATTTCAAAGAGATTTCATTTTTAACTGTAGGTACAGCACTGCTAAAAGTGATTTTCTGAACCAAAGATGGATTTTTTTTAAAAAAAAGGACTGTTATTTTGATCAAATACATGGTCAGAAATATTATGGATTTTTTAAAAAATATTTTGCTTATGCTGAACAAATATTCAAAACAAAGTCTACATTACAAGCTACAGATCTAATAGAGTTCAGTGGAAAGGTGTACTCTGTCAGTGCTGGAGAACAGCACAACTCAGCAGAGGCTATTATTGTTAATAAAACAAACAATATTTCAGGATAGAATATATTCATCCCTGTCCCCTAAATAGAATATAAGGACTGACATTCAGTACCAGAAAGGAAAAAAAAGCATTCCATTAATTTCTATTAAATTTAAAGTTGCCTTTTAAAAACAGAAGCTAGTTCAATGAGATGGTATCGCTTTACTTATTTTGTATGCCTCGACTGCAAGGGATTAATTATGGTTTACCATACTAATGATGGGTGGATTATATAAGTAGTGCCTGGTCCACAACTTCTACTTAGTGAAAAAGTTATTGAGAAATAAAATCTCAGTCAAGCAGCCCCCCCCCCTTTTTTTCATTTTCTAATAATGTTTTCAGACATAAAAAGTATGGGGCTGGAGGACTAAGAATCTAATCCATTATTCTTTTGCAGAAAAAGAAAAAGGAAAAGGAAAAGCATTTGAAATGCTAAGCCTTAAATATAAACAATGACAATTCTCCATCATAATTTTCTACACAGAACTTACCCAGCCCAGGTATTATAGCAAAAGCAACTCTTTTAATAATGAGTTTACAATACCATAATACCATTTGGCACTTTTACATTAAAGCACAAGGTAAGCCAAGGACAAAACAGTAGAATCTGTTTTAAAGCTACCTTCCTAAACTAACTCTATATTTAAAAGTGTAAATTCCATTACTCAAAAAGACATTCACAATAAATCAGATTCACAGGCTTTCATAATACACTAAAACAAATATACACAATTTATAATCAAAGCTCAAAGCTTTACATGCAGAAGATAAAACATTTATACACCATATGCTTTCACACTCTACATCCACAGAGACACTACACAATATTCTCACACAGCCAACAATCTGAAAGATATTCTCATAGTATTTCTAAGTAAAAGGAGTCACTTTTTGATACTTATGGCACAGTGCTGACAAAGATCTAATGTTTTTATGTACCACTAATATGGATCCATGAGAAGGAAGGACTCACTGGAGAAGAGCCTAATGCTGGGAAAGATTGAGGGCAATAGAAGAAGGGGACGACAGAGAATGAGGTGACTGGCTGGAGTCACTGAAGCAGTAGGCGTGAGCTTAAATGGACTCCAGAAGATGGTAGAAGACAGGAAGGCCTAGAGGAACATTGTCCATGGGGTCTCGATGGGTCGGACAAGACTTCGCAACTAACAACAACGATATGGATCCTGGGATGCAGGGTTACAACCGCTGGCTTTCTAAGGACAAGCTGCTAATTGGAAAGTGGCAATTCCACACTGTTAAGGCCAAGAAAAATACACACCTTTTCGAATTTGAGATCCATGGACTAACATCCCAGCAGCAGAGCCGGGATAGCGGGAGAGCCCCGGGAAGCTGTTGGAGTAAGCTCGTAAAAAGAGGGGAAGGAAATATGCGTGTACTGTACACACACAGAGGCACCAGAGGGAGGGAAAAATAGAACAGTGTCATTCAAGGGCTTCACGAAAAAAAAAATAACCCGGGGAAGACTGCACCGCCCCCTCTCTCCCTCCTATCAGATCAATGGGACAAAGAGAAAGGGGGGAGAGAGGCAGAGAAAGGAAAGTCTGGGGGGGGGGGGCTGCCTTTTCTAAAGGGTTTCCCAGAGAGGGCGGGCGAAAGGCTGGAAGCAGTCAGGGCTCCCTCCCTTTATCAACAAGAGGAGGTCCCGCTGTGGCATCTCCCCCCACCCTCAGGAGCAAACGGGGAGAGACGAGTGAGGACAAAGTAGCCGATCTCTCTCGCCCGGGGCCTCCGCGTCCTGTCAGGATCAGGAACCCATCCAGCCTCCGAAAACGGGGAGGAAAGGAGAGCGGAGCCGCGTCGGCTAGAAACTTTTTCTTTTTCCCGCCCCTTTTCCCGTCTTTCTTCCTCCCCGCCTCATTCAAGGGTCGGGCGGCGAGAGCAACACACGCCGCTTCAGCAACTCCGGGACGGGAAGGCAGGAAGCAGGCAGGCCACAGGGATGGGGCGGCCATTAAAGCCGCTCCAATCCGAGCCTTTCCCCGCGCAGGGCGGCTGCCACCGAACCGCCCCCGCCGCGGCTTCCCGGTAGCGCTCGCCTCAGCCTTTGCCTGTCGCCCCATAGCTGGGATCGCGTTCAGCCCCCCCCCCCGCCTGTCCCCAGGTCTTACCTGGCTGCATTTCTCGGGGACTTTGGCTGCCGAGGAGTCTCTTTTTCCTCGGAGTGGCCGCACTGTCCAACGGCTCGCCATTATTTCAGACTCCAGTTACAATGGAAGAAAAAAAAATCTGCTGGAGTTAATATGGGGGGGGGTGGATTTGTCGCGCGGCAAAAAATAGGCTCCCGAGGGAGGAAATGGGGCGGGAGGCAAAAGCAAAAGAAAAACACGGCTGTCCACATGCACCAAGGAAGACGGGGGGCAGCCACTCCCACCTGGAAAAGATAGCGCTCGGGCTAGAAAAAGACCCGTCTTTGCCTTTTTGGGAAAGAGCAAAAATGTTTTTAAAAGAGCGCTGTCCAGCACACAAATTCTAAGCAAGCCTCGCTTTCACAATAGGGTCCAGGAAGAAAAGGATTCTCTCTCTCCCCCTCCACTTGTTCAAAAAGCCCGGTGAGGAAAAGAAGAGCGGATGGAAAGATCCTGCTGGACTTTCTCCACCGGACTCGGTCGTCCCGGCGAGAAAAAAAAAGGGATGTGTCAGTGGCCAGGGCAAAAGCCGCCGCCGCCTGCTCCTGCTGCCGCCTGTCCCTTGTTAGGCTAATTGCATTGGCTCGTCATCTTCCTTTTCCTCCTCCTTTGCAAAGCCGTAGCGCAGCGAGGAGAGGGCGGAGGAGAGCAGAGGCGCTTGCCGCTGCCTCCTTCGGGCGCGCACGCATACACCCGTGTCTGAAGCATTGAGAAAAGGGGGGAGGAGGACACCCATATATACAAGTTGTCCAAGGACAGGGAAATAAATCAAGATTCCCGCCCCTTCCCCGTGACCGACATTTCCTTCTCAGGCGACGGAGGAGCGCAAGGTCCGGGCCAGGTTGGCGTGGGGACCGGATGCTCCTTTGGAGAAGCTCAGGAATTCGAAAACTTTTCTGCCCGATCCTGCCAGGCATGTGACACGGAAGTCTTGCCTGCTGCATACGCTTTTGGCACACAGTTTGAACCGGCCCAGGCCGATTGCAACCTGAAGCGGGGAGGTGGGGGGAGCAATCGATCAGGGAAGGCTTCACTCGGCTCCTAAGTCCAATTAAAGGGGTTCAAATTGCCCTTTTCAGGTATGCTACCCAGTGCGCAGCGCTGAGTCTTGCTACCTTTCTACGAATGAGGATTGCTTTTGGTGGGTGGTTCACGCCCGATTGGCTTCGAAGTTAGAGTCCCTTCCCGGGGAAAAATACTGTAAATACTTCCTCTCTTTCCAGCTGTGCAGCACCTTGGCAAAGTTGCCCAGTACCTCGTCTTCCTACATTTTCCAAACGGAAGTCACCTCTCCCTGCCCGAGGGAGTCCTAACTCTGTTTTTAAATTCTTTAAACGTGCTTGCCTTACAGCGAGCAAGCCTAAGGCTGCCAGGAAAGGGCACTGTTTTTAACACGGGGGGGGGGGGAAGGGATCAAAACTTCTTAATAAAGAAGAAAAAAGCTACCGGTTTTATTTTACTTTTTTAAAAAAGTAAACAAGAAGCATTTACATTGTTCCGCTGCCCTAGGCAATTTGCAGGAGTGCCAGCTGCACCCAGGTCTGTTCTACCTGTCAGTCCCATGGTAGGTGTTTTATGTGCTGCTGAAAGGGGGAGATGGGAGACAATATTAAAATATTGTTTAATATATAAACCTGTTTCCAGCATAAAGCAATAATTTCTCTTGGGGGTAGGCGAATAGAAAACTGCAAAGCAAATTATATACACATCTATTGTTTAGTGGACACGACAAGCATCTTCAGCCAATCTGTTTGACAGAGGGAGACAAACCAGGTGTATTTACATAACTCCCCCCCAATTAAAAACCTAGCCAAGAGCACTCAGCTGGAGCTTAACAATTCAGAAAGCAACACCACATCTTGGAGTTGTGGGCTCTTCCCTATTATTTTTCAGAGTTCATATATCGCTAAGCTAAAAAAAAAAAGCAAAACTGGATGCCTTCTCCAACCAACATTGACCAAAAATATAGAAACAAGCTTCCCTGAAAACAATGCCTAATTCAATATTTTATTTTCTACCTTACTCTAACTCTTGCATATATTCAAAAGGACTCTGGTTATTAATAGGTAATAAATGCCTGTATTTAAATCTGTGTTCAGTTCAGTGTCACTTTTCAAATATTTTAACACTGTGAAAAGAATGGAGGATAGAGAGATGCTTCACAATATCAAATTCACCTCATAACTTAATGATTGTGGCACATTTGCTTCAGCAAACTTTTGCTGAAACCCCAGATTAGAAATACTATGAGAATGGTTTTCAGGTATGCTACATTTCATAGCAAACTGATGTGTATGTGTCTGAATTTCAAGAAATTTACCGCTGTCTTTTCAAAGATGGAAAAAGTTTGCATTTATATACAGACAAAGTGACAAATATTAGCATAATATTTTATTGACTAGAATCCACAAATGCCCCAAGCACATGAGATAGAAGGTCACATAGTACAGTAATTAAATGTGAATGTAGTTCAGTAATTATTTTAATAAAGGCAGAGAATATAAGTTCTAGGTTGATATTGTTCTAAGTTAATATTCCATCTTTTGTTATGGAACTCAAGGTGGCAACCGTTGTTGCCTAGCTGCCATAAATAGCTGCCAGTCTAGTCTAGCGGTTACAGCATCAAGGTAAAAAATGAACAGACTTATGGGAAATTAAGAGGAAAAGGAGAATTATGTATGTTCTCCACCTTGAGTTACTTATAAAGTAATAAAGACAGGTTAAAAATCTAATGAATAAAGAAAATCAATAAATAAACCATAGCATTCCTATTTTTTCCCCAGAATAGGTCTGGCTGGGCTGTGTGAGAGAGTAACTTGTTCAGTGAGAGGCTGAAGATAGATTTGAATCTAGGCCTTCCTTGTGCCAGTCCAATATCTTATTTGCCAACATCACCTTCTGCATGTATTCAAAAGCACGCTGAGTATTAATTGGTGATAATTAGTCATCTAAACGTAGCCAAATAAATTATACCTATAATAGTGGGACCATCAATCTTTGCTATTATTTCCTGTTCAAGCTATGTTAAGACTGGAGTTTCATTTTTCAAGGCCTTTTGTTGAAGAATTGCAGCTTTCAGTTCAGCAGATAAATGTCCAAAGGTATGTAATTTGTGTATTATTTTCCAAACAGCCCAACATCTTTGCCAAAAGTAGAAGAGCATTGGTGGTCACAACAGCATATATTTTACTGGAAGACGTACAGTGCATAGATCTGGTAACAGTTGTCAGGATACATTAGGAAGAAGATTTTTTATCTGGACTTGGTACTACATTTCTGTAGCTTGGTTTCCTTTTGGTTGTTGTGATTATCTGGCTTAATTTAAGAGCTAGAATCAGTAATATTGTCAACATTCAAAAGCTAGTAGAAGAATATTCAAGTTCTTGCACTCTGTAATTGGCTCTTCTCAAATAGTGCATTTTTGGACAAAAACTCAATTTACTGATTTTTTTGTCCCAGGGAAAAAAATTACTCAGTGATGGAATTTCCATACTATCGATGTTTGTACTATGTAGTTTCTCACAAATCAGTTTGAAATGCACCCACAATCCTCTTCATTTCTCCTTATCTTGAACTATGGGGAGAAGATCTGGACTTAATTCTGAAGTTGTGGAAAACATTGAAAATGATGTACTATAATCAGTTACTACTACCAATATGCTTGTTTTGCAAGATTTAAAATTTAATTGAATTGTCATAGACTATCTGTTGTATTTTAGGTTCATTATTTCTTGTTTTCTATACTTCTATGTAGACAGAAAAACTTCTAAAATATGAGAGTGTGGACTCTAGTTCTAAAAAGGTATATCATAATGAATTAGTATTTTATTGCAACAAGATTCCTTGTATTTCCTGAACAAACTAACAGTAATCTGGATATTGCAACTATATGAAAGAGTATACAAGAAGCTCCACCACGTAGTATATAATGTATTTGCTTACAGAGTCACTGCTCCACCTAAAATATACTGGATTCACATTTTATGCAAATCTGTGCACAATCACTTAAAATATATAATTTTCATGTGCATTTAGCCTGTTATATGTATTTTGTAGCTACTTTTCTTTCTTTGCACACTACATATCCTACAGCAACATTTATTTTTCTACTTTTCTTAATATATACATTTTTGAACCCAGATTTGATGTGCCTGTGTGCTTCATTCATCTCTGCATTCAGTAGTATAAAGTTGCTAAATTCATATAAATTTCATTTATAATTCTAAGTGATGACTGATAGATTAAAAAAAGTGGAACAGAAGCTTATTATGTTGGATCGGGACACAATAACCCAGTGTTTTCCTGTTTTGGCAACTTCCAGGCATATGGACTTCAACTCCCAGAATTTTTAACAATTGAATATTATATGAAGGGTCAAACAATACCTAGACGTAATCTTTCTCTTTTACACCCACCTCCTAAAAAGGGAGATAGCTGTTTTGGAGATATTCCTATCTGCCTTTTGCATATGATTCAGCCAAGATTTAAAGGGAGGAATGGTGGCATAACAATTGTCATCCAGTAATCTTTTACAGCTTCTCCATAGGCTGTCAGATGTGAAACCCTGTTCATTAAGTTGGGTTCTAGGGATCAGTTGAAATTATTATGTTGTATCTAATGGGTCCAACCTCCCTGTCTGAGTTCATTGATTTCATGTCTGAATTGGTGATGGAGTTCCATGTACTCTTGGGATACTTCAATTTACCTTCTCTAGGACTAGGGTCTGAGATGGCTTAGTAGTTCATCATCACTATGATGGCCATAGATCTATTCCAGATCTTCCAGAATCCAAGAAGGGACAGTGGCTCCATACCTATTGATTCCTGTTGAATCAGTTGCTATATGATCTGAAATTGTGGGACCTTGTCATGTCATGTCCTAATTACCATGGGATTCTCTGTCCACTGGAGTGAGGCTGTACCCATTAGACTGGTTCCACTTCTCAATGACTAATAGTCCCAGATGGATTTCAGAAGGAGTTGAAGGTTGTTGGTCTGCTGACCTTCCATCTGAAACATTGGTCATTGCATTGGAATAGCAATAGACAGCAAACACCTCTGCAAAGAAGCTAAAGAAACAATGGACTACCTGGTTAACTGCTACAAGATGTTCGCACAGACCGACTACAAACAATAGCATGACAAAGTAACAACAATGATGCATTGGAAGATCCGCAAGAAATACCATTTACTTGTGAACAAGTACAAGTAGGACGATAAAATAGATAATAGAAAATGAAGAAGCTAAGATACTTTGGAATTTTAGAATTCAAACAGACAGGCACTTGCCATATAACACCCCCGACTTAACAATTGTCAATAAAAAAAAACAGAGAAATCTGGATAGTGACGTGGCAATACCTGGAGAAAACAGAATAGAAGAAAAAAACTGGAAAGAATCACAAAATACAAAGATCTGCAAATAAAAATAGAATGACTGTGGCAAAAGAAACCAAAGATAGTACCAATAGTAATAGGCGCCTTGGATACTGTCCTAAATCAACTGGGGCATTACTTGACAAAATGACCGTTGGTAAAAGGTAGCTTTACTTGGAACAGCTTACATCCTATGAAAACACCTTTACCGCCATCAAACATAAACATCTGCTTAACCCAGATTCTTGAGAAGGTCTCAATATGTTGATAAAAATGCCAAATCCAGTATAAACATCTGGCTGACTGTGCAATGAACCATCTGCATGATTGGAATGGAGTGACCTCCCCAGATTTTAATAGAACATCTTCCAAAGGGATTAAACCTTCCCAGGGTTAAATACTGAGATAATGGACAATTTAACACTAGTAGTGTTTTGGTGGCAAAAAAAAGTAGAGCTCAGGAGAGATGGAGACCATT